TAATGATGACCATAACTACACTGGCACGGAGCCACAAACAGATGCTGAGGAGGATGAATTTCCCCCGCTCCCGGTAACACCAAGTAAGTCTCCCGCTGCCAAGAAACCTTCTCCCAATATTCCTCGCACGACAAGCAACCCAAATACTGAAGATCCTATTGCCATGCTTGCTAACCTGATCAACACAAGAAGTGATGCACTGGAAATGAAGTTGGGAAATATGCTTGAACAAATGGAACTTTTTAAAAAAAAAGGTTGACTGCATGGGAAAACGTGTTGAGCTCACTGAAAAAAACACCACAGCCTGTTCGATTCGTGTTACCGAGCTGGAGCGCTACAGTCGCCGTTGGAACCTCAGACTTCACGGAGTCCCCGAGACAGAGAAGGAGGACGCGGTGGCGGAGGTGACCCGGGTCTGCCAAGAGATTATGCCGAGGGAAAAAGAGAGGCTTCAGCTCTTCATTGATGTTGCTCATCGAGTTGGGAAAAAGTTCGTCGGCAGCTCCCGTCCTCGTCCTATTATCATTCGTTTTGTCGCCAGAAGGTATCGAGATTACATATGGAAAGCAGCTAAAGGCAACGACTTTCTTAAAAAAAATGGTCTCCGTTTTACTGAAGATCTGTGCAAAGAAGACCGCGACTTCCGACAAAAACTGTGGCCGTCCATCCAGGAAGCTCGGGAAGAGGGGAAGTCAGCATATTTCATAGGTGGTCGCGGTTTCATTGACGGCGTGGAGATTCCTGCAACTTTTGACCCAGTAAAGGAATAAGCTATATTTCAGATATCCTGTTTTGGTTCACCATACTGTTCTAAGTATGTATAGCCTATTTCAGTGCCAACTAATATTTAGTTCCTTAATAAGGTACTGGTCCACGATGTTTGTTACTATTCACCTTCTCTGACCGAGCCCTTTTGACTTGTTCTCTAAATGTTAAACCTTTCATTTATATCTCTCAATGCCAGGGGGATGCGTAATATGTTAAAAAGGAAAGCTTTGTTTCTATTTGCCAAAAATGTCAATCCTGATTTTTGTTTCTTTCAGGAGTGTCATTCAGTTGCTTCTGATGTTAATTTTTGGAAAGCCCAATGGGGAAATTCCATTTGGTTTTCTCATGGTTCGGAGCATTCTGCAGGAGTTATGACGTTAAAACATAGATTTAAGGGGAATATTATTGCCTCTGAAAGTGACTTAATGGGACACTATATCTGTCAAGTTTTTGCTTTTGAAAACCATTGCTTCATTTGTGCTAATATTTATGGTTACAACAACAAACGAGAGAATGATAGACTATTTCACTTAATAGAGATTTTTTTTTTAGAATGGCTAAAGAAATTCCCCAAAGCTATAATTATCATGGGAGGAGATTTTAATAATGTTCTTGATGGGGATCTTGATAAATGGCCTCCAAACAGACCTAATGCCTCCAACTCAACTGTCAAATCCTTTATGGAAAAATTCAACTTGACTGATATCTGGAGAGATGTCCATCCTCATGACTATATATTCACTTGGAATAATAAATCGTCAACAAGAATGTCTAGAATTGATTTCTGGTTAATATCAAACACAGTAAACAAGGAGAATGTAACTGTTAAAATACTTCCTACTCCTCTTACTGACCACAAAGCTATTGAATTAATTTTAAATTTTTCAGACAAAAAACAATCTTTTTACTCACACTGGAAAATGAACAGTTCCTTACTGCAATTTGAAGAAGTCTCTGAAAATATATCAACGTTATTCAATCAGTATTTGTCTAAAGCTCATGTAGATGCTCGCTATAACCTTAATTGGGAATTGTTCAAATTTGAAGCTGGAAAATTCTTAAGAAAATTTAGTAGTAATAAGGTCAAATCTATTAGAGCAGAAGAAAATTGTATAATTTCCAGAATTGTTGAGATGTCTTATTCAAATCCTTCCACTTTAAGTGATTTAGAACAACAAGAATTAACTGAATTACAGATTAAGTTAGACAATATATACATAAATAAAAGTAAAGGTGCTTTTGTTAGATCAAGAAGAAAATGGATGGAAGAAGGAGAACAAAATACCCATTACTTTTTCAATCTTGAAAAACATAATGCTGTCAATAATTCTATTAGCAGACTTAAAATTAACAACTCAATAACTGATAATCCTGATCATATTGCTAGATACTGTTGTTCATTTTATGAGAATCTGTATCGTTCTAACCTCTGTCAAGCCTCAATTGATTCCTTATTAAATAATTTAATAGTAAAACCAATTTCTAATATCGACCAGAAACGATGTGAGGAGCCAATCACAATTCATGAAATTCTTGATGCTATTGCACATCTCAAAACCAACAAATCCCCTGGGACCGATGGTCTAAGTGCTGAATTCTATAAACACTTTTCTAATGACTTCGCCCCTTTTTTACTGGAGGTCTTTAATGAAAGCATTAAAAATGGCTCTCTGCCTGCAACTCTTACTCAGGGCTTAACTACACTTATACCAAAACCCAACAAAGACCCTTTATTTCTCGATAATTGGCGACTTATCTGTCTTCTCAATACCGACTATAAAATATTTGCCTTGGTGATCGCTAAAAGATTAAAATCAGTTCTTCATTCAATCATTGACGAAACTCAATCAGGATTTATGAAAAATCGGCATATCACAAATAATATAAGACTTGTTCTTGATATTTTAGATTATCCTGATTTTGTTTCTGATAATGGACTTATTTTATTTTTAGACTTCTATAAGGCTTTTGACACTGTAGAACATGGCTTTATATTTCAAAGTTTAGAAAAGTTTGGATTTGGAAAGCTATTTGTAACGATTATCAAAACTCTATATCAAAACAACAACAGTTCTATCAAATTAAGGAATGGCTCCTCTCCTAGATTTAACATCAGCAGAGGAATCAGACAGGGGTGTCCAGTCTCCCCCTACCTGTTTCTTTTGGTAGCTCAGCTTCTGGCAGATCATATTAAAACCAGTCCTCTGAAAGGGTTAATTGTTGCAGAAAAAGAACTTATCCTAACACAACTGGCTGATGACACGACCCTGTTTTTAAAGGACAAGGATGAAGCTTCATTAGCAATTCAAGAATTAAATAATTTCTCAAAAGCTTCTGGTCTGCATTTGAATCTCAAAAAATGTGAAATTATGGCAGTTAAAGATTGCACTGAGACATCAATTGAAGGCATTCCAGTTAAAAACAAGGTTGTTTATTTAGGCATAACCATTACAAAAGAACAAAAAAATCATAGCTCCTTAAATTTTGATCCTTTAATTCTAAAAGCTAAAAAGAAACTTAATCAGTGGTTGGTTAGGGATCTTTCACTACGAGGTCGTATTCTACTTAGTAAAGCTGAAGGCATCTCTAGGCTTACATATGCTGCTCAGGCTTTAGATCTTAATAAAGGCACTGAAAAAGAAATAGACAAATTGCTCTTTAACTTTGTTTGGAAGAATAGAATACATTACATTCGAAAATCTACTTTAATTAACTCATATGAAAATGGAGGGCTTAACTGTTTATCTTTCTCCACATTAAATAACACATTCAAAATAAACTGGATTCGCCAGTTCTTCGCATCTCAAACTTCTATATGGAATACTATTCCGTATTACATTTTTTCAAAACTTGGGGGTTTAACCTTCTTCCTGGTGTGTACTTTTGATGTACATAAACTTCCCATCAATCTCTCTAATTTTCACCGTCAGGCTTTTTTGTCATGGTCACTTATCTACAAGCACAACTTTTCGCCTCACCGGTATTTTATTTGGAACAATAAGGACATCCTGTACAAGAAAAGATCATTGTTCTTGGATTCTTGGTTCAGGCATGACATTACTCTGGTTGATCAACTGTTTGATGACAATGGCACATTATTGAGTTATGAGGGATTTCTCTCTAAATTTGACATCCCTATTTCTTCTGGAGAATACGCAAAGGTTTTTGGTGCCATTTCGTCTGGGATCTGCATGTTATATAGACAGAGGCCAAGACTCGATTCTTCTTCATCACCCTCTCTGACTCCCATGGACTCTCCTGTTGGCAAAATATGTCTCACCTCATCGCTTCGTAAAAACAATAAGTCAGTCAGATCCCTCTTGCAGAGAGAGGTGGTGTCTGTTCCTGCTGTTCTATCATATTGGAACCGATTTGTGTCTGATGTCTCCTGGAAATACACTTGGCTGTTACCCAATCACTTTCTCCTCACTAACAAGGTGAAAGAAGTCTCATTCAAACTTATTCACAGGATTTATCCTGTAAAAGACTACCTAAAAAAGTTTAAACCTGATATTCCTGTGAACTGCACTTTTTGTAATCTTCTCCCAGAAACTGTAACACATTTGTTTTGGTTGTGTCCATACTCTAAGACATTTTGGTTACACTTTTGCAACTATGTGAATTCAAATATTATGAAAAATTTACAGCTTCATTGGAAAAACATTTTATTTGGCTTTCAACTGCAAAGTAAAATGTTTCCCAAACCTTTTCTTATCAATCTTTTAATTTTGTTGGCCAAATTTCACTTGCATAAATTTAAATTTCTAAAAAAAAAAAAACGGATTTTAAAGCTTATTTAATAGAAGTCAAACAATATTTTCATACAATTCATCTTTCTTCTCATCAGAAAGCTCAAAAAACCATAACAGTCTGTTCCCAACTAGAAATTCTAGACAATTTAATGTTGTAAAAGATATATTTATTTGTATAATACATACACATATATATATGACACTCCCCAGCGCATATGTTTGTATAGTTGCTTGTTTATTTTCTCCTAACTGTACTTGTTTATTGTGACATACCCCCTGGCATATTTATTTGTTTGTTTGTTTGTTTATATATTGTTCTGTGACTTTAAGTGGAATAAAAAAAAAAAAAAAAAAAAAAAGCTTTCATTTCTCAGGAAAAAGCATTTGGTCCAGAGAGACGAGTTCGTTTACTAAGAAACGAAACCTATACCAATATCTGAACAGCAGGGGGCAGCAGAAGGCACACATACATATGAAAGGAGCAGGACTGTGGAATGTGACGTTGTGGATTTTTTTTTTTTCTTTTTTTCAGGATCTCATCCAACCTATATAAAGCCTGGACTTCTCTGTATGCTCCACTGTTCTAACGCAATATGGGACTACGTAAGTATAGCTTTTCTTTAAATACTCATATTAATGTTCTAGTTAAGTCATGACAGAAAATGATGTGTCATTCTTTTCAAATACTTTCCTCTGTTTTTCATTTTAGTAACGGTTGCCGCTGCTACGGCTCTTGGTGCAGGTGAGATTTAACATTGTTTTGTCTTAATCAGTTTTCATAGCTGTCTCTTCAAATGCAAAATTTTCCTTGTCCACATTAGGAGGCGCCGTGGTGGCGGCCCCTGTGGTTTTGGGAGCCATTGGTTTCACCTCAGTGGGGATTGCGGCCGGTTCAATGGCTGCGAGCATGATGTCTTCAGCAGCAATTGCTAATGGAGGAGGAATTGCAGTTGGATCAACTGTAGCTGTTTTACAATCAGCAGGTAAAATCCCTATTTTAGACTCTCCTGCTTAACGTTTCTAACAGAGAAATAAATTCAACAAAAATATAGAATGTGTTAATAATCTAAATGTGCGGTTTACTTGCAGGTATGGCCGGTTTAGGCACTGCTGCAACAGCAGGAGTGGCCACTGCTGGGGGAACTATTGCTGGAGCTCTTGGTGGACTTGCAGCCCTTATTATTTGAATCATCAATTACAAAAAAGCAAACTATAAATTTGACTTTTCCCAAATGGCCAAAGTGCATTACTCATTGTGCAATAAATTTTACTAAATGAAGAATTAATAAAAGCATTTGACATATATTGTATCATTTGTTTTGTCTTGTTTTTCCTTTTCAAAACATTTCTTAAATTGCTTTTAGACATGGGTATCCTCTGACCTTGCCTCTGTACCACTGAGGAATCAAGACTAAAAACAGTCTAATAATTGAGCAGATCATGGTAAACAATATCATTACATTTATGAAAAGGGGTGGTGCTAGAGACTTAAATTAAGTCCTTAAAGAAAGGTCTTCTACTTGCAGACATTTTTCAGAGACTCTTTTTTTTCCTTAAGGCATCTTTTGCTGTATTGAAGTTAGAACCTACAATCCACGTTATCTTTAAAATTAGTAGGGCTTTTTTTTTTATTTTTATAAAAAATTAAGCAGCTGGGTGAGCCTGAGTGCCCACACTTAACCAAGCATAGATCTACTCCGTCACTAAAACCAATATGTTACTTTTTGTCTTCACACAGAAAAGATCATAATAGCTTCTCACTGTAAGAGAAGCGTTAAACCATTTAAAATATTATAAATTAAAAAGCATCCTAGCCAACACTGCACTGAAGTTGGGAAGAAGGGCTGTGACTGCACCACTGGGGAAAAGAGGAGCCGGTTAGAATCTATGCAGACTGCAGATGTCTGCATAGACATCTTACACACTGTAAAACACTCCATCACCTTGGATGTTTGGATGTTGCCATGATGCTTATCCTCCAAATAAGGTTGTAGTACTTTAAATTTGGAATAGCTAATATTGATGCCTTTTCATGTCTTAATAATGACCCTGCCATGTTCTGTAACCATGTTTTATTATGTCAGCTGTCATCTTATTCCCTTCTGTTTGTCTGTGGATGTTTGCATGCAGATCAACTTTAAACCATTGACATTTTTAAAGTGTCTGGCAATTGAGTAATATTTGATTTACTTTTTAATATGTGTCTATACTGTTTGTTTCTCTGGCACATTAGAGGGACATATAAGAAACTCATCACAAAATGTTAATAGCGAGGAAATGTTTGTTATTTCAGACGAAGGACATAACATCTTGCTCGACTCTGAGAAGTTAGTTAAAATAAAATGAGAGGAAACTTTCCACTGTGGACACGAGCCCAGGATTATGTACCAACTTTACCGATTCAGACCTCAGTGATGGCATCACCGGCGAGATTTCACCTGTTAACTGTTTCTGTGTTTTGGACAGCGGACCTAGATCAACTTGTGACAGTTAATTTTTTAAAGTACGCTGATCTTTTAAATCATAAGATTTCCAGAATATGAGATATTCCTATTTTTTTGTTTTTGTTTACTTTTACAGCAGATTGGGGTCACACCGTTAAGAAATAATTAGACAGTAGGTTCTGCAGGGCAGCTGTTAAGAGATAAAATTATTCTATCAGTTATCTACCGTTAAATCTCCTATTTTACTGATTGATTGTATGGCAGTAGTCAGCCTGGAGGCTTTTTGGTGCTTTTTTAAAGGGGTCATAGAATGATAGGGTATTTGGTGCTGGTCCTTAAGTTTGCTGAATAGGGTGTGTAACATTGGTTGGGCTGAAAATGGCTTATTTGCAAGCCCGGTTAAGAACCCCAGAATGAAACATGTTTTCTTCCTTTTTTTTCTACTCTGCTGATGCACAGTATAGTTATAGTTGAACTGGAACTAAGCCATTCTCTGCAGTATCTTTTATATTCCTGGATGTCATGTTTTCTTATCTGCTTTGACTTTTCTGTTTTCAACAAATGTATTTGGATAAATCTTTTCTAAATTGGATAAATGATAAAATAAAGACTTTTATTATCTTTTTCTTTCTGCAGTTAAAAAATGCAAAGGGTATGAAGAAACTATTTTGAAATAAAGCAAAGCAAAAAATTTAAATATATATAAATATCTCCATCTTTGTTGATTTAGTTTGCTTTCATGGACATAAAGTATCTGCAGAAATTGTTCGCTGTCTGATAATTTTCTACATTTGTTCACAAATAATTTTACTTTTGGACTATTTTAATTTCTTGTTTTATATGTGTAAATCATTTGGGTTGTCATTAAAATCATGCATGAATTTTACACCATTTAAGTTTTTGCAACTTATTTTAGTTAGACTCTATAAACCGATATAAATTGATCTTGCTGTTACTTCTTATGTTGTATAAACTTCTTACACATATGGAAACAACACTTAGACGCAAGTATTGCAACAAACCTCAATATCTGTTTTCATTCATTAAATTCCTTGTTTACTTTGGTTTATAGATGCTGTGCAGAAGTCTGATATGGCCTGAGGAAAGTAAAACCTTTGCAAGAAAGCCTCAGATGGCAAGTCAAGTTATTAAAATGAAAAAGAAAACATATTGTCCAAAGGATCTTAAATAACCTGTTGTTATACAGACAGGGCATTGTGCCTATTGGATAAGGCTATGGCAATTGTCATATTATTTCATACCCCAGCCATATGTATATTTCGCTATTATTTTATATATGTACATATTATGTTGTCTAATTATTTGCATATCATAGCTTTAAAAGATGCATTTGATATAACTGTGTTTGCATCACAAATACTTTTGTGAATCTTGTTTTGAGAATATTTTGAGTATATTTTGTGTGCTGTTTTGAATCAGTATGTGCATTTGTGGGTCTTTTACAATCCATGTGTAGATTGTGCTGTGCATGTGTGGATTGTGCTGTGCATGTGTGGATTGTGCTGTGCATGTGTGGATTGTGCTGCGCATGTGTGGATTGTGCTGTGCATGTGTGGATTGTCCTGTGAATTTGCGGATCTTGTCCTGTGCATGTTGTGCTGTGTTATAAATCAAGATATATTTGTGTATAAATCAAAAAATATGTAAATCTTGTCTTGTTAATGTACACATTTTGTGTGTACACATTTTATGTTATGGTTTGAATAATCATGTACACTCACCGGCCACTTTATTAGGTACACCTGTCCAACTGCTCGTTAACACTTAATTTCTAAGCAGCCAATCACATGGCGGCAACTCAGTGCATTTAGGCATGTAGACATGGTCAAGACAATCTCCTGCAGTTCAAACCGAGCATCAGTATGGGGAAGAAAGGTGATTTGAGTGACTTTGAATGTGGCATGATTGTTGGTGCCAGAAGGGCTGGTCTGAGTATTTCAGAAACTGCTGATCTACTGGGATTTTCACGCACAACCATCTCAAGGGTTTACAGAGAATGGTCCGAAAAAGAAAAAACATCCAGTGAGCGGCAGTTCTGTGGGCGGAAATGCCTTGTTGATGCCAGAGGTCAGAGGAGAATGGCCAGACTGGTTCGAGCTGATAGAAGGGCAACAGTGACTCAAATAACCACCCGTTACAACCAAGGTGGGCAGAAGAGCATCTCTGAACGCACAGTACGTCCAACTTTGAGGCAGATGGGCAACAGCAGCAGAAGACCACACCGGGTGCCATTCCTTTCAGCTAAGAACAGGAAACTGAGGCTACAATTTGCACAAGCTCATCGAAATTGGACAATAGAAGATTGGAAAAACGTTACCTGGTCTGATGAGTCTCCATTTCTGCTGCAACATTCAGATGGTAGGGTCAGAATTTGGCGTCTACAACATGAAAGCATGGATCCATCCTGCCTTGTATCAACGGTTCAGGCTGGTGGTGGTGGTGTCATGGTGTGGGGAATATTTTCTTGGCACTCTTTGGGCCCCTTGGTACCAATTGAGCATTGTTGCAACGCCACAGCCTACCTGAGTATTGTTGCTGACCATGTCCATCCCTTTATGACCACAATGTACCCAACTTCTGATGGCTACTTTCAGCAGGATAATGCGCCATGTCATAAAGCTGGAATCATCTTAGACTGGTTTCTTGAACATGACAATGAGTTCACTGTACTCAAATGGCCTCCACAGTCACCAGATCTCAGTCCAATAGAACATCTTTGGGATGTGGTGGAACGGGAGATTCGCATCATGGATGTGCAGCCGACAAATATGCGGCAACTGTGTGATGCCATCATGTCAATATGGACCAAACTCTCTGAGGAATGCTTCCAGCACCTTGTTGAATCTATGTCACGAAGAATTGAGGCAGTTCTGAAGGCAAAAGGGGGTCCAACCCGTTACTAGCATGGGGTACCTAATAAAGTGGCCGGTGAGTGTATATGTGTGGATCTTTGTTTATCTGTGGGTCAGATATGTGGATCACATGTTAATATTGAGACTCTTCTAACTCCATATTCTGAGCCGCTCAACATCCCAGACAGTGTGGATAAAGCTGCTGTTGTGTATTATCATTTTCATACAGTCTGTTATACAGTGAGCACCGCACTGCCAACACACTGTTCCAAGATCTGCATTGAGGAAAATAAATATTTGAACACCCTGCTATTTTGCAAGTTCTCCCACTTAGAAGTCATGGAGGGGTCTGAAATTGTCATCGTAGGTGGATGTCCACTGTGAGAGATATGATTTAAAGAAAAGAAAATCCAGAAATCACAATGTATGTTTTTTTTTTGTTTTTTTTACAATTTATTTGTGTGATACAGTTGCAAATAAGTATTGAACACCTGAGAAAATCAATGCTAATATTTGGTACAGTAGCCTTTGTTTGCTTCAGTTTTTAACCAGGAGGGATTTTGACCTAGCCTGATAAACTAGACTAAATGTGAGATTAATTGTGTAATTTAGTCTGGCCCCGATGAACGAGACATCGGAAGATTGTTGATGATGACAACCCGTTATTTTTCAAACCATGTCTGTGTCTACTGGCCAACGCTCTGACCAATGAGCGCAACTGACTGTGATGTAGTAAGCGTGACAGAAAGCTGGTGGGGGAGTGTAAATGACAGCCTGTCTGTAAAATGGCGAATATGTCCTTCTTAAAAATTATTGAGCGAGAACTGTTCAATAGTTGTTGCCTTCTTCCTTGTTGTGCTTTCTTCAGCGTCGCTAATCTT